TGGAGCTGCTGGAGCGGGTCCAGAGGAGGGCCACGAAGATGATCCGAGGGCTGAAGCGTCTCTGCTATGAAGACAGGCTGAGAGAGTTGGGGCTTTTCAGCCTGGAGAAGAGAAGGCTCCAGGGTGATCTTATCGCAGCCTTCCAGTACTTAAAGGTGGTTTACAGGAAAGCTGGAGAGGGACTTTTTACAAAGGCATGTAGTGATAGAACAAGGGGCAATGGCTTTAAACTGAAAGAGGGCAGATTTAGATCAGATATAAGGAAGAAATTATTCACTCAGAGGGTGGTGAGGCACTGGAACAGGTTACCCAGAGAAATTGTGGATGCCCCATCCCTGGCAGCGTTCAAGGCTATTTTGGATGAGGCTTTGGGCAGCCTGCTGTAGTGGAAATTGTTCCTGCCCATGGCAGGGGGATTGGAACTAGATGATCTTTGAGGTCCCTTCCAACCCAAACCATTCTATGATTCTATGATTCATGATCTTCCACCTCATCAGTCATAACAGACTGGAGTAGAGAGCTGCAGGGAAACAGGACTTTAGGCTGCTTGTTTGGACACAGTCACCTGAAGAGGAGTACCTTCTTTTGCATTATAGCAGTTTCACAGATCTGTAGTTCCGCTGACTTTACAAAATTATATTGGTGCAAAAATGAATGAAGTTTTATCTTGAAAAATGGACCAACTCCATTTAGTGTACAATGTAACAAGAATGACAGACCTATGAAATAAAAAGCAATAAAATTTCTTCATTTTCGAGAGTATGTTAGCTTCTTTGAAGGTGATGTAAGTGACTGGAAGAATCTTTTCAGTGAAGATCAGAATGAGAAAATGGACAAAGCATTTGAACATAAAGGGGGAACTAAACTGGAAACAAAGTTAAAGTATGGAGTGGACTGTAAAGCCTAAAGAGTGACGACACGTAGTTAGAGCAAGAGCTTTCCAATACACTCTCAGATTATTTAAATGCTATGTACTAGAAAACCAGATCAAATGATCCAAGCACCTTAGCATTATTGTAATAATCCAGCCTTTACTGTGATCATGATGAATAGTAGGCTTTTGTTTTAAAGGTGAGATCTTTGGCTTGCTTTGGCTATACTCATTTGCTGAATAAAATGGCACTAACCATATTCAGATAACAGTAGCTGTCACCTGGAAGGAAATGCCTCTTTCATCTTTCTAGCCAAACTAAGTCTTTCTAGACTGCTTATAATTATTTAATATGTAGATTTTTTTTCCCCAAACGTTTTAAATCAGTCAACATCTTCATAGAAAATATCACTAGCAAAAATATGTATCCGACACAACCTTAGTTAATGATAAAGAATACCTTCCCCATGACTTCAGCACGAACTGGATCAAAGCTAGGCAGAAGAGAATGAAGGAGAATGGGGATCAGCATTTTTAGGGATTTTAATCTCTCTGAATGCAGAATTTCAAGATGTATTTCAGATTACAGGCTGGTGTTAACATGCAAGATCCACTCTGAAGCACTACTTTTATAGAATCGTAGAATAGCCCCAGTTGGAAGAGATCTCAAAAAATGATCTGGTCCAACCTTTCATGGGAAAGGGGGCCAAGATGAGATTATGGCATCTTGAATACCTCCAGTGATGAGGAATCTGTCACATCACTGAGGAGGTTGTTCCAGTGAATGATTGTTCTCGCTGTAATGACTTCATTTCTTATATCTAGATGAAACCTCTCCTGGTGCAACCTGTACCTGCTGTATCTTGTCTTCTCCATGTGGCTCCTGGTGAATGGAGAGCTTCTGTCCTCTTCGTAGCTGCCCTTTAAATAGTAGAATCCTATGATGATGTCCTCAGTGAGCCTTCTTATCTTTGTGGCCCTGCTTTGGACCCTCTCCAGTCTATCTGTGTCTTTCTTGAATTGTGGTGACCAGAACCAAGCATGGTTCACCAGGTGCAGCTTGAGAAGTGCTGAGTTATGTATAACCATGAATAATTCTCTTTTTGTATCACAAAAATCCCAAATAATTTTCTTTTTATTATCATATAAATTTGCACTTGTGCCACTGAAGACCATGTTTTTACCTGTATAAAGGTTAGTAAAAAGCAAAATCATGAAGATATTGTCTTTTTCTCATGTTTGAAGAGAGTCCTTAATCTACACACCTATGTGCCACTTGTAAAAACTGCATATGTTTTCCATGCTCTGGCTATAAAATAGGAAAAGAAAATGTCATGAATAAGATTACGTTTCCCACCATTAATCCCAGTGGAGCACTCTTACAACACAACTACAGTTAACATTCCCCCTGTTCATTCTTGATTTACATATGTGCCTACAGTTAAGCTTTAACTTAAATTAATACTAGATTGATTTCCATGACTGGAAATTCTCTGAAACTGAAGATGTGAAAATTCCCTTCAACTACCTCTATTGAGAAAAGGGGATTGTCAAAGGTGATGATGCAAGACATTACTATATTCAGCTATTTTGTGCTAGCATTGGTATTTGGCACTGTGGACACATATTTCAGACCTGTCCAGGGACCAACTACACTTCAGTTACTTGTTCTGGAAAATAGCAAAATAAGGTTCCTAAGCATAGCTGAATTAAAAACAGGAAAAAAGCACACCCAATTTATACAACCATCACCTAAGCAGATAAGAAGTTAAAAAGACACACTAGGAAAGAATAAAGTATTCAGTGATATTTTGCTTCATTCTTCTGCAGCTGTTTAATTCTATCTGAACATGTAGAAATGTAAGTTTTGCAAAGAAATAGGAATGCTAGAAATAATAATTAAAATATTTAGAAAAAATGAATGGATTCAAAAGCCAAGCATCTGAAAGTCCTGACCTAAGCCATCTTTGAACAACTAGAAATTATCTGTAAGAACCCAGAAAGATACCAGATGCCTGGAGGAGGATACACATAATTTTAAAAATACATTTTAAATGTTGTACATTTTACATTTGTACATTGTTGTACATTGTACATTTTAAATGTTTAAAAATTTAATTGGTCCTTCCAACTCAAACCATTCTATGATTCTATGATTTCCACTGAAGAGGATGGTTACATGTATTTCTATCTATTTGCTTTAAAGAGGATGAAGAAACCAGAAAAATTGTACTAACTCATCTCCCACCTTATGTCCTTTCCCCAGTACATTTTTCAAAACAAGGCTAAGGTGAATCTTTAGCTGAGGCGAATCTTCTCCTTATGTTGCACTGCAAATGTTCCTGCTAACATCATTTCCACTCAAGGCAGTTTTTAATGTAGATGAATTGAACAACTCAAGGTTTTCCCTTGGGACCATGTGAGCTGTGCCACAGTTGTAGTTTCCCTGCAGGGTCACCTGCTTACCCCAAGACATTGGGCTGCTGGGATTGGGACTCCTGGCATCCTCAGGACATCTGGTTTCTCCAGGTTCACTTTCCAGAGAGACAAGGCTACTCTGAGCCCTCACCTTTGTAGCTCCTGAGCAGCCTGCCAAGATGGCTGTGACAGCATCTGGAGCCTCACTCATGAGCAGAGATCAGGGTCCAAGGGTTAAAGGACATGGCAGTGTCCCATGTCTCCAGTGGCTCAGGTGACAGGCTGTTAGATTCCATGTTGAGGCGTTATAGTGATCTGGCTCCCTCAGGATTCAGGCAGCTGGCTCTGGAGGCAGGAGGAAAATTGCTGATTTCTTGGTGCTCTTACTATTTAGAATTGGCAAATAGAAGGAGATTTTCCTTTGCAACTCAGAGTAAACACATGGACAGAAAACTGAAAACAATAACAAAGTTGACAAGAGGCATAATATATGAATGGTGCCTCCAGTTTTTATGAGTAAAATAGCACTGGTAGAGAAAATACTTCCAATAAAATCATCTATTTTAATACTTCTGCATTTTGAGAGACCAGAAAAATAATTTGAAGTGATCCTTTGTAGATAACTGTAAGCAATCTTCCAGGTCTTACAGTTGTGCTTTTGATTTGATACCTCCTCATGCTTAATTAAGCTTGTGTATAGGTTTGCTAAGTGTCTAACATCCGTTTATGAATAAAGAGACAAGGACGTGGTGCACAGCAGTATGGAGCTCTCTGTGTGTTTGATATAGGGATAGTGAACGAGACCCGTGCTATATTCAGGGGCTCAAAGAAAGAAAGAAAGAGTGAAAGGCCCTTCCACAGGGTAATTCAGCCTTCCTGTAGTGCATGTCTCTGCTGGGCTGACCTGTGGAGATACTTATTTCTCCATCTCAGTACTCCTTATCTTCTGAAAAGGCATCAGCCAGAATACAAATAACTCCCCCATCAAGAACTACTTAACCCAGAGATTAAATTAAAGACAGATGTAGAGAGAAATAGAACTAAAGTCATACAGGTAGAATTTGATTCATGTTAACGCAGAACCTAAATATTAGAGCTTCATACAAAAGTAGCCCTCCTGTAGAGCTTGGTGAAGTAGAAGTCTCAAGTGTCAGTGTTTAACCATGAGAAGTATGGCTTAGACAGTCCTTGTCCTTAGCTCTGGAGATACTGTCTGCAGTGATGATGTTACAGTGACTGACTGCAGGACAGAGCCGCCACTGAGAAGGAAGTTGCACCCTTGGATGTGTAACCGTTAGTGGAGTCAATAGCGCGCCAGGTTGAGATCCACTGTCCATGTGTCCACTACATGCTGACTGTCCAGTTCGCAAATTGCACTGCATTGCTCACCAGTTAAAAATATTTTGGGCAATATCATTTATAGGTCTTTCTTCGGTTTCTTTTAGCTGTTGCCCCAATAGCAATGCTTTGTAGAGAACAGATTCCTGTTCCAAGTATCAGCTGCAAAAAAGACTCTAATGCCACTATTGTCAACCTTCAGTCCTGTAATTTCAAAAGAGTTAACAGAGTACAGAGTTAATCAGTGACTTGTACCCTCCTCCCTGAGTAAATGCCCTACCCAAGTTGCTAATACGTTGCATAAAGTTTTTCTGCGTTGTGGAAAGACAGCCTGTATCTGTTTGTTTGAAAAGAGTTCCACAGGCATACAATCATGAGCAGAAATAGGGGAAGAATAATTGAAATAACAGAAAATTTGTTTTCACAGGGTGTAAAGCGTCCTCCAGAAGCCATGTTTTTTTCCTACAAAGGTATTTTATACCCTGCTTCAATGAGCAGCCCAGAAACTATGGAAGCTCTGAAATCCTTTGAAGCCAGGAACGACGATGTGATTATAACAGGCTATCCTAAAACAGGTGAGTGTTGTTTTCTTGATAAGTAGTCAAGTGCACAATGCTGCAATTCAGAAGTTTGTGCCACCATTTAACACAGCTATAATACCTGAGAAAAGCTTATAGTGACATCAGACTTCATAGGATCATGAATTTAAGTTGTAAGGCATCTCTGGAGGTCAAATAGCACAACTTCATGCTCAAAGCAGGAGAAAGACCTAACCTTCAAAGTTACTTACTGCATCACAGAATGCAAGTGATTCCCAGGTATCTAAATGGAGTGTCTATTCATTCTATACATGAATGCTGCCAGGACTCTGGGATTTTTTCCTCTCCCTTTCACTATAGGGATTTTAGATTCCTTCATTTTTCCCTATTTGCTTCAGAGAAATATCTTAATAGGTCATTTGCAGAAAAAGACGAATTACTGATCTTTATCACATCCCCTTTGTGTGCAGCCTGTAGAGCTGTGCACAGACATAAATGGTTTAAAAGTGTGAGGGTCCACGTACACATCCCAGAAGATGTTAATTAAAAACTGAGACTTGGTTCTCCATGCCCGGTCCCTCACACACCAGTTTTACCAGGTTGCAGAGGCCAAGACAGCTAAACCTAGTGCAAAGATGGTGACAGGATCTTGATGGCCTGGTGGCTCGGTTGATGACCCCTTCTGCTGTCAGTTATGGATGGGGGCTGGGAATGTGGCCAAACTGCGATGATCATGAAGAAACCATAAAGTGAAGCTCATTGGGAGGTGAGAATGGAGTATTCCCAAAGACAGCACTGTGGCAGGAGAACAGAAACAACCAAGAGATGACTCAGTTGGCCCTGTGCTGGGTGCTCCACTGCTCTTGAGTAATTTCCACAGGGAGTAGTCTGAGGTGACTAAAAAGTGCTAGAGCTGGAATGAGCAATAGACGTTTGCTTCTGTTTCCACTGAGGGATGGAATATGCTTCTGAAGTGAGCAGTGTAGCACTCCATGTCTGACCGACAGCTTTGTCCCTGCTGGCTTTTGGCACGCCCTTCTTGTTGATTATTGCCCAGTGTCCTGGCTTAACTGTAGCTGGCAACTAAGCAACACCCAGCCACTCGCTTATTCCCCCCCGGTGGGATGGAGGAGTGAAAGATAATGGTAAAAGTGTGAAAAATCATTAGTTGAGATAAAGACAGTTAAATAAGTGAAGCAAAAGCCATGCGCACAAGCAAGGCGAAACAAGGAATTCATACGCTTCTTCCCATTGGCAGACAGGTGTTCAGCCATCTCCAGGAAGGCAGGGCTCCATCATGCTTAACAGCTACTTGGGAAGACAAACACCATCACTCCCAACGTCCCCCCTTCCTTCTTCTTCCCTCAGCTTTTATTGCTGAGCATGATGGTATGGAATATCCCTTTGGTCAGCTGGAGTCAGCTGTCCCAGCTGTGTCCCCTCCCAACTTCTTGTGCACCCCCAGCCTACTCGCTGGTGGGATGAGGTGAGAAGCAGAAAAGGCCTTGGCTCTGTGTAAGCACTGCTCAGCAAGAATGAAAACATCCCTGTGTTATCAACACTGTTTTCAGCACAAATCCAAACCATAGCCCCGTACCATCTACTATGAGGAAAATTAACTCTATTGCAACCAAAACCAGCACACCCGCCTGTTGGCAGACTAAGGCACAATATAGAGACAAGTGTTTGCACAAGTGCGAACCAGTTTGACAGGACATCTTGACAGCCATGTCAACATGAAAAAGTGCAGGTGAATGGATGTGTTACTGGTGTCTTCATCCTTTCAGGAACCAACTGGCTTGAGCAAATGGTGAAGGAGTTGGAGTCAACAGATGCCAAATATACAGAAGAAGAAATGAAAGAGAGAATAAATGCTGAAAAGAAGCTAGAGACATTTCCACGTCTAGAATTTGGAGATCCTGGGATATATGAGGTTGGCGGGAACTGAAAATATTGGCAATGCTCTTCCTACAGGTAGTAATAGCTGGAAGACAATGATAGATCGCAGAGACAATGGAGAGCCCAGAGCCTTAACAATTGCTATAGCCAGCACAAATAGCATGTGCTCTTGCCCCTGGTAACTCAATACAAGGGTCTCAGTGCACTCAGAGTGCTGAGAAGCCACAAGGGGTTCCAGCGTAGACCCCATGGTTTTGACCAGTAACCTCTTTCTCTAAGGTGCCCTGTCCTCAGGCTTATCTCATGTGAAATGGTGTTCTGTGGCAGAGGGTGGCAGAAACCTACACCACCAGTGCATCCATGTGGGTTTTCCAAAGGATAAGATCCTCCTTCTTTAGTTTCATCTTTTCTTATTACTCACATTTCCTGAAAAGGCACATGTCACTGAATAAGCTAATTCTGTCCTGTCGTATTTCTTCCCACTTGCTTTACAGAGGTTGAAGAAACTGCCTTCCAGAAGAATTATACTAACTCATCTGCCACCTCATCTCCTGCCTCCATCTGTTCTCCAAAGCAAGGCTAAAGTGAGTCTTCTCCTTGCATCACACTGCAAAAGCATTTCCACCTCAAATTAGCTTTCCTCAGTCTGTGTGAGATGTGTTTTCTGCACTTTCACCTGGGCTGGTCAGTGCACAGACACATTTCCAAGATTGAAGAGACAGAGTGCTGCGTGCTGAGGCTGTGAACAAACATCTCCCAGCAACAGCTTTGTTGACTGAAGAGGTTATTGTGAAAGGGCTTGTTGCTGGGTGTCACTGTGCCTTCAGATCACCTTCAGAAAGATGCTTCCAGGTTTGTGTCAGAAAATTGAGCAAGGCAAGCAGCTGTTCTGTTTGCTTTAACTTGCCTCCAAGACCAGAGTACCTGTGGAAAACCCATCACAGGCTGGGGCTAAGATAGTCTTCAATGGAAATTGCTGCATATTGAAGCAACGGTGCACCCACAGCCTGCTGTGAGTCTCCTGTTCAGTAGCCCATGAGCTCATTTCTCTGGATTGGAGCTAGTTCAGAGCTATGTCCCAAGGGCATCACTGAAAAGCTTCTTGTTTTCTCTCTGAAGCTCACATTAGCAGCAAGTGGCCTGCTAAAGCTCTGATTTCTTGCTCAAGAAAAGGAATTAGACCAACATTGCATGGTCTGTTGGTTGTTAGTGGATATGTTGATGTGTTGAGAAGATGGCGTTTTGGTCAGTCACCAAATCACAACCAAATTATGTGTTTTCTTCCTCCAGATCCTTGTGCTAGTTCGGAATCCCAAAGATACGGCTGTCTCCTATTACCACTTCTACAACGACATGCCAGTGATGCCATCCTTCGCCTCCTGGGATGAGTACTTTGCAGCCTTCATGAATGGGAAAGGTACTTTGCCCTGCATCCTCTGGCATTCCTCCTTACATGAGGGGCATACACAGGATCCTGTGCATGGGAATCCTACCCCAACATACCTTACTAAGGCACTCCCAGGACAGACAGATAGGCCTATGTTATGGCTGAAACAGGGAGGAACAGAGAATCAGATTTTCTTTAGTCTCTAACTCAGAACAGAGAGATGGTGAGAAAGCTTTAGCCTGACTTTTCCATTCTCACAATAGAGCTTGTGATTCGGTGCTGCCTAGTGGCCAGAGCTGGAGGATCCTGCACTGATCTCAGCCAAAAGAACAGATATGTTGAGCTGGTCTCCACTTCACCACCCTAGCACCACGCATAGAGAGCTGTCTGGGCTGAATCCTCTGATTTGGTAAGGGCCTGTTTTGGGGAATACCCTACACAGCTATGTCTCTTCTTTGTCTGCAGTGGCCTGGGGATCCTACTTCGACCACTTAGTGGAATGGAACAAGTATATCGACCACGAGAAGGTCATGATCATAAGCTACGAGGAACTCAAAGAGGTGTGGCATCTCACCCAGCTCTTCCTTGATGAGTGCACTGTGCACCCCTCCTGATATGTATGGCTATGGGGAAGAAGAAACTCTTGGGTCAAGCCTGTCTGCCTCTATAGATAGGTGTGCCTTTCTTAGCTACTCTTTCATGTCTGGGGCAGGCCCATGGGGTTCAGAAAGAGGATAGCCTTGCCTGTCCAAGGAAGGAGTCATATCTGGTATAGGTAGGGTTGCTTTTGGGAGAGAAGAAAAGGCTTTGAAGCTGAGGCCACCATATGTAGGTTGACTCTCTGTTCACAGCCCTAGAATTCCTTGGTGACACTATGGGAGACAGCCTTCTTTACTAGGCTTCCCATTAGTTGCTGAGTCCATGCCACAGCCACTGTGTCAAGTCTTTTGATTTCACCTCTGTCTTATGTTCCTTTGGTCAGGACCAGGTACTGGGAATGAAAAGGATTGCTGCCTTCTTTGGATTCTCCCTGTGTGAGGAAGATTTTCTCAGAATTGCCAAGATGACCACTTTCCAAGCTATGAAAGAGAAATCCAAAGAAACCCATGGACAGTTTGGGGACATCCTCTTCCGAAAGGGTAAGTCTCTGCAAGTGGAAAATCTGCCTTCTAGTATCCCTCTGAGTGGGTCTCCTTACTTAGCTGTGAGCTTTCTGGGCTGTCTGAGAAGAACAGGTGTGGTTGAGGTCTCTCCTGTGGCATCCTGTACAAAAAGCCTCTGTTGTTGGTAGGATTTCAGGGCTATTTGTGAGAAACACACTGGAGCGCTTCACCTATCCTGGGTTAAGGTCTTCAGCCATTGCTTCCATGTTGCTCTGATTCCCTGTGGCAGTCTCAGTTAGTTAGACAAGTGAGGTGTGAAGGTGAGGGCCAACACTGGTGTAGGTTATGCCAACAATTATGCACCAAATCTGCCTGGGCTGAATGGCTGCTCTTTACAGAGTGGTGGTGATGTGGCCTTTGCCAGGCAGACAGGTAATGAGACTGATCCTGGATCCTGGATCCAGGCTGCACATGTCACTTCATGGAAGTCCATCCTGGGAGGAGATATGCTAATGAACAAGAGCCTCTTGAACTTCAAGGGGATGCATTGCTCACTGCTCTTCTGACCTCACAGGTGTCTTCTTGTTACACTGTCAGTGAGAGCGGAAGAATAGTCTCAATATGGTTCATCTCAATGAATATGTCAGTGGTGGCCCCAGAGATGGTCCCTCATAGATATGGAGCTCTGGCAGCCTAGGTGCTCCGCATAGCATCAAGAGTCTTTTGTTTCTGACTACCATGGGCATGGTCTTGCTTTAATTTCTTTCCTTCACCACTCCCTGGAGAAGGAAGGATTTAACCGCTTTCCTCTTCACTACCTACCACTCTGCCCTAAATAACTTCCCCCTTCAGAGGGAGGCATTCACAAATGAGCATTCCCTTGTGAAAAAAAAGATTCCCCTCTCTTCCATGTAAAAGCTTCACGAAACCCCCTTGGAATCTCCCTCTGGAGAGGGAAGGCATGCAGGCAGCTCACCAATAATGTTCCTTGTGGCCTGGCTGCACTCTTTACTTCTTATCTTTGCTATGTTGCCTCTCCCAGGCAATCAGACCTCTCAGGGACATAAATCAGATCCTTACTGCCTCATGTATGCAGCGTTCTGCCCCATTACTGCCTAGGTATTATTCTTTCTCAGGAGTGGCTGCCTTCAGTCTTTGATACTTCTCGTTGCACATAGGGGTTGTTGGGAACTGGAGAGACCACTTCTCTAAAGCTCAGAATGAAGAAATGGACCGAAAATTTGAAGAATGCCTAGGAGGAACAAAGCTGGCAGCAAGGATGAAATATGATGTGTACTGTAAGGCCTGAGAATAAGCAGATGAGCAGCATGACAGCAAGTTTTGCTCCAAAGAGGATTCTCCAAGGATGGGCAGTCCCCATGTTTCGTCCATATGAGAAATGAGAGAAAATCCTGAGAGATCTGCCTGGAACCTCCAAGCATTTGGGTGGTAGTTCTTGGGCGTGTGCTGGGCCTGGGGTGTGTGCTTTGCTTGACGCAACCAAATAAAATGTGTGTATACCTTGAGCAAATACCTAGCATCCTTCCAGAAGGGACATGGTGCACAGGCAACATTTCAATCTATTCGTTAATACACGCCCCTTACTATTTCCTACATAGAATCGCAGAATCATAGAATTGTTTGGGTTGGAAGGGACCTTTAAAGGTCCTCTAGGCCAACTCCACTGCAATGAGCAGGGATATCTTCAACCTGATCAGGTTACTCAGAGCCTCATCTAACCTGACCTTGAATGTTTCCAGGGATGGGGCATCCACTTCTCCGGACGACCGGTTCCAGTGTTTCATCACTCTCACTGTAAAACATTTCTTCCTTATATCTAGTTTAAATCTACCCTCTTTTAGTTTAAAACCATTACCCTTTGTCATATTGCAACAGGCCCTGCTAAAAAGTTCATACCTATCTTTCTTATAAGCCTCCTTTAAGTATTGAAAGACCACAATAAGGTCTCCCCAGAGTGTTCTCTTCTTCAGGCTGAACAACCCCAACTCCCTCAGCCTTTCCTCACAGGAGAGGTGTTCCATCCCTCTGATCATTTTTGTGGCCCTCCTCTAGACCCACTCCAACAGGTCCCTGACTTGCCCGAACTGAGGAATCCAGAGCTGAATGCACGTATGCTGGACTCATACATGGTGATATCAAAAGCTGTCCAATAACAGAAGGCACTGTGCATCCCAGTGCCTGCAAGGAGTTGAACAAGGGAACAAGACTGACAAGAAATGTGGGAACAGTCACTGAAATATTTAAAAGACCTTTACTAGGATAAAAGGACGGCATCTGAAGATCCGTTGTGTTTTTTTTTTTCCTGCAAAGGTGTTTTGTGGCCTAAGGGCTCCTAGACCAGAAACTTTGGAAGCTCTGAAATCCTTTGAAACCAGAAGTGATGGTGACATTCTCACCATCTTTCCTAAAACGAGCTAGTCTTGCTTGCTGATGAAAAGTCCAGAAGCATGTGACTGCATGTAACACAGCAATAACACCCATGACAGGTTAATGATGACTTCAGCCTGCATAGAGGCACAGAAGTAGGACTTGTTCCATGGAGGAGGACAGGAGGACTGGTGTTTCCATAAACTTCCTCCACTGCAGAAGGTAAGTCATTCCTGTCTGCTGATGGACGTACAGGCACATTGGCCACCTAGACTCTTGGACCTTTCTCCTCTCAGCTCCCATGTCTTCCAGTCCCAGCATTTGAGATTACTGGATACTTTCATGTTTTCCCTTAATCACTTAGAGAAAGATCTTAACAGGTCATTTGAAGAGAAAAAGAGGAAGTGATGTTTGATCTGCATTGCATCCACTTCATGCTCAACCTGAATTTTTTTCGGAGACAGGAAAGGTATAAAATTGTGAGGTCTCATACAAATGTCAAAAGTATTTTAGATATCATTTGGCATTTGAGTCGTAACATCTCAAAGTTCTAAACAATCTTAAAAGAACTGTGTTAGAAAATGCCTTATGTGACTCATTTTGAATGTGATATGGCCAAGATTCAACACACTTAATTAGATGGTGTGGTGGTGAATGATGAGTAAGCTGAGAGAGATGCAGCCTAACTTTCAGCTCAGCAGTGGGAAAGGCCTTCTGGCTTCTAAAACAACATTTCTCACAGAAATTATAGCAATAGAATTTGGAGATGAGCTCAGACTCTCCTGCTGGTTAAAAGGCTGAAACTGGATTTGGTCATTAGGAGGTAATGTAGCTGTTGCACATGAACACCTCTGAAAAGCAGTAAAAAACCTTGGACGGGACCTAAATTCTTTTAGTTTGTGAAGACTGTTACTTTTGACTGATTTGTCCATTTTTTTTTTCAGAAATTGATGAATTATATTTCCTTTTGACTAAGTCATCGCTTCAGACTGTTTTGCATTTGTTTCTACAGATGCAGTCATCCATCTTTTCTGATATGTCATATCTTACAGTTTCCCAACTAAAGCTACCCAACCCTACTTAAAGGATTTCCTTCTCCAGGCCTCTCAGTCTATGTATGTTGTACTAGTTTTGGCTGCAATAGAGTTAATTTTCCTCATAGTAGCTAGTATGGGGCTATGTTCTTGATTTGTGCTGAAAACGGTGTTGATAATACAGGGATGTTTTCATTCTTGCTGAGCAGTGCTTGCACAGAGCCAAGGCCTTTTCTGCTTCTCACCTCACCCCACCAGCAAGTAGGCTAGGGTGCACAAGAAGTTGGGAGGGGACACAGCTGGGACAGCTGACTCCAGCTGACCAAAGGGATATTCCATACCATATGACATCATGCTCAGCATATAAAACTGGGGGAAGAAGAAGGAAGGGGGAACATTCAGAGATATGGTGTTTGTTTTCCCAAGTCACCGTTATGTGTGATGGAGCCCCGCTTTCCTGGAGATGGCTGAACACCTGCCTGCCAATGGGAAGGAGTGAATGAATTCCTTGTTTCGCCTTGCTTGTGCGCATGGCTTTTGCTTCGCTTGTTTAACAGTCTTTATCTCAATGCATGTGTTTTCTCACTTTTACCCTTCGGATTCTCTCCCTCATCCCATCAGGCTTGCTCAGCCATGAGCTAGCAGCTGAGTCATGCTTAGTTGCCAGATGGGGTTAAACCACAACAATGCTTATGGATGTACAAGTTGGAAGCCTTGGCTATAATAAAACAGCCCCTTCCTAAGACACACAGCTTTTAATATTTTTTCTTGCTTGATTTTTAGTCTATAGTTCATGGAACTATCCATTTCTAGCGAAATGTTTGTTTTGTATTCATTTCCAATCGCATTAAAAAGATTGAAAAAATTCTCTTCCAGAAGAGTGGTATCAACCTCATGTCCTGCCTGACTCATGGTTTTTCAAAGCATGGCTAAGGTGAATCTTCCTTTTGATCCAATCTGAAACTGCTGTTATTATTAGTATTTTCATACAGATTAGTATTCCATTTCCTTTGTAAAATGTTTTTTTCTGAGATTATATGTAGACTTTTGAGGGGTAATGATATATTTCTGAATGTGAAGTGATAAAGTGCTGTTTACAGAGACTTTGGGCACATGTTCTCTTGCAGCTGCAACTATAATGGCTTCATAGGTTATTGCTGCCTTCAGCTCATCCCTGTCAAAGACAACTACTCCCTCAAATTTCCTGAGGGAGCTGCTCCCTGGCCTCTTTGATCACAGACTAAGATCTCTTTAAATCTAAATCTTTTAATCTAAGATCTCTATCACAGACCTCTTAAGAAAATTTCCTTTCTCCTCATAGTTTTTTGTTTCAGTCCAGCAACATTTCGTGGCATTCTGGGTTGCAGCAGGCTCCACACAGGCTGAATATTCCTGAGAAATTTGAGTTAGTGGCTGCCCCAAAGGCTAGGCTTACTTCCGTCTTCTGACTGTAGTTGTCTGTTCCTTCTTTTGCACGAGCTCTTGTGCTTGTCTGACAACCTCAGATTTTTCAAGCAGCACGAAACACTCACTTTTGGTGGCAGCAAGCCGTCAGATTGTCCCAGCTGTCTTGCACAACCTCACCCCCGGTGCCTCTGGGTCTCAAAGAAAGAATTTTCCTCTTGCTTTACAGGCTTGGCTCTGTCATTTTATGCTTCTTTCAGGCATCTCCTAATATATGCCCCTGTCGCAGGCTTCCTGCCTGCTGGGTCATGCACTCCCCCTCCAGACGGCTTTCCCAGCTCACAGCTCTCCTTCACCCAGGGCAGAGCAGGCACAGCAAGGCAAAGAGGCAACTCCCTGCCCAGTAACAGAAAGGGAGCAGAGTAGGTGCAACATTCTGTACATGCACCGACAGACAGCATCCCTCTTTCTCGTACCTGGAGTGGGGCAGCAGTGCTGACCAGTTGTAGATATGCCAGAAGTTAAAGCCTTTTAGGCTAGGGGGGAAACCAGACGTGTTTATGTAAAGGGAACTTTAGATCTAAAATCCAGTGGTAATCATTTAAGGTTTATTACATTCCCTCTGGTTGTTTTAGCAAGAAACTAATTCATTATGTGAAAAATAATGAATTTGTATCTTTGCTATCAAGAAACAGCTTGCTAGCAAAGGTGTAGTTTCATTATTTTTTTAAATAGTATTGATAATTTTAATAAACATTAAAAATACATATTTCCCGAGTATTTAGCATCTTTTTTTCCTGGTCTCTCAGTTACATATTTATGGGGTTTTTTTTTCAGATAAGATCCAGAACATCAAAGATGCAGCCATCTTCTACTTCTACTTTTGTTTCTACTCCTGGGATGAGTACTTCATAGTTTTACGAATGGAAGAGGTACTTTCCATTGTCTAGAAAGATATTCCGATTAATAATGTGTACAGGCGAAAATCGTTGTAGCTGAAGTGAAGTTAGGTTTTTGGCACTGAACATCAAATTAGAATTTGACCTTGTGTTTGGCAGATACTCCATGTTCTGACACTGTTATTTATGTCTTTCTACCAGAAAAGTAGTTATGCAAACACTTTAGCCCTGAATTCCCCCAGGTTTTGAAATAATTCTCATGTATTATTTTTTAAGGTTCCAAAGAGACAGATGTGATGTGGTTCCACAGTGAACCTCTCTTAGCAAATGGCTGAACCAGTTTTTAAAGACAGGAGCTGTTTTTGTGCAAGTCTTGGTGCAGTTGGCTCCTTCTCTCCGGCTAATGCTGTACGCGTTGGCTGCTGCAGCTGGAACCTGATGAAGGGAGTTGTGAGGGGAGGCCACTGTACACTCTTCAGTGGTTTCCATGCCCCTTGCTACCTCTTAGCAACTTTCTGGTGGCTGGTAAGAAGCGGATCTGGGCTGCCTGAGCAATGTTTGCCTATCAGATAATCGCTGTGCTT